AACTCTATTGTACTTGCTGGTGTTGACTAATTGTTATTCGTTCATTTTAGGTGACATAAATATTGCAGCTCTTGTTGGAAATGAACAAGTCAGTGAAGGTACAGATAATGGTGATCTCTCTTCCTATGTGTCTGCATTTATAGAAAAGGAAGTTGGAAATGACCTTCAATCTTTAAAGAAACTTGATAAACTCATAGAACAAATGACAGAAAGTAAAATGCAGTTAGAAGGACAGGCAAGTATTAAAACTCAATGAAATAATATTAGTAGTATACTCATTATAAGTAATATAAACATAACCATTATTATATGTGGAATTTTGAAGATATAGATTATAACAAATAGTCTAATCATTTTAAACTGTTTAATAGGTTTTAAGGACTTACAATATACTGGGTATTTTACAAATTATGTAAAAGACAGCTCCTACCGATATGATTTATGTCTTGGAAATATAATGATAGCTAACATTTTAAGTAGTTTTTCATAACTATTAAAGTGCTTTTACATATAAATAATTTCATGTTATACAAAAATGTTATGACACCATTATTCCAAATTTTTTATATATACACTCAAAGGGAGAAAAGATGAAAATAAGTATAACATTATAATAATGGTTATTTCTGGGTGATTGGTTAAAAAGTGATTTCTTTATATCTTTCTATATTTTCAAGATTTTTCTTTTTACAGTGAACATATTACTTAACATAATTTTTTAAAAACCATGAATATAATTTAAAAAAAAAAAGAAAGTGAATCCCTATACGTGCAACAATGTGTCTGTTAAAGATAAGAGATTTATTGTGTGATACTAACTTGCTTAAGTAAACTCTGCTGGGTGTATTTGTGTGTTAGCCCCGGTTGTCGGTCGTCTTATGTTTTCCCATTCCTAGTATCTTAGGCCCCTCCATTTTCCTGTCTTTCCACCATGTCTCCTGCTAAGCTCTAGGTTTAGCCCAGCTAGGTTCTCCTGTCCACCCCTACAGACAAGTTGTGGGCTCCTGTGGAGGAAATCAGGCAGCTGAGTGGATGGATGCCAGCCCACATGTGTGGTCTTCTGCCCCACCTGGCAGTCCTTCCTGGGAAGGTTGCCTTGTCTGGTATGGCCCTCAGGCGTTCTTCCAAATTCTACCCAAGATGCCTACCCAACCGGGCCGTTCTGTCCTTTCCTTTTCCCAAACAGAAAACATTGAGGCCATGTAGCATGAATCTATTGAACGGTCTACCCCACATTCCTCAAACTTATTTACAACCATTTCTACTTCTTTTTTTTTTTTTTTTGCTGAGCCATCCTGCTACCTGTTGGCAGCTCAGCAGCTGCTCAGCTCGGGCCGGGACTCGAACTGCTGTTGCTCAGAGCTCACACTCTTAAGCGAGCTCTTAACCAACTGAGCCACTCGGCCGGCCCCCATTTCTACTTCTTAATTCAGCAGAGGATCAATGTAAGGCAGTCCCCGATCCTACCTGCCATCTCAGTGAACTTGCTTCACTCTTTTATAATTTTATCCTCTGCTCCTCAGCTAGTGCTTTCCCCTCAGCATATGGACATACCCAGATCTCTTCCGTAAAACCTAAACAAACAAAAAACGCTCCCTCATCTTTTAGTAGGCTTTAGTCCCTTCCTTTTACTGTTAGTGTTCTTCAAAAAGTCATCTTACTTTATATATTTCCACTTCCTAATTTGCCATTTGCTCTTTGACCCACTGAAATCAAGCTTGTTTCCCTGATGACCATGGAAGCTTTTACTGAAGTCTCATTGAACCTTAAACTCAGCATATCCCAAACTGTACTGACCATCTCTTAAAATGCTTCCCTGTCTGGGAAAATGGCACCACCATCTACCTGTCACTCAGGCTGGAAACCTTCCTAGATTGCTCCTCATCATCTTTGCTCTTCTCCCATCACCAAGACATCTAGGTTTTGCCTCCTTAACATCTCCAGTGTTCATCCCCTTGTTCCCCCCGCTGCTGCCACCACCTCAGTTCAAGTTCAGGGCTGCATTCTCTCTTACATTTGATGGTAGTTTGCCCATCTTCTGTTTTCTTCATACTGCCACAGTAACTATCTTTTTTATTTCTTGTAGGAATCTTATTATATGTAAATAAAGCAAACATTACAAAATATAGTTATACAGTTAAAATCTGCAAGCAATATGTTACTTAAAATATACACAGCTTAACTTTTTACAATTAATGTAATACAGGACTTGTTTTCCTATTTCTGTATATAGCTCTATCTCTCTTTTTTAATGTTTTTATGATATTCGAATATGGCTGTACATTATTTAACCATGCTCTTATTGGTAGACATTTTTGCTGTTTCCAATTTTTATTACTACAAATGTGAAAATAAACATAATTGTTCATCATCTTACCTTTCTAAGTCATAAATCTGAGTTTTTCTCCATATTAAAAACTTGCTGGCTTCTCACTGATTACTGGAAAAAGCCCACATTCTTCTAAGGTACAAGATGCTACCTGAGATCTGGTCTCTGCCTACCTGTCTGGCTCATCTTTTCTCTCTGCATTTCTTTGAACTGTACTCTGTGCCCTACTCAGCTCTTTGCTGCTTTTGGATCATGACTGAGCTGTTCCTCTGCCTGGAATGCCCTTTCCTTCCAAAGTTTCATGAACAATTCCCACCCATCCTGCGGAAGTCTGTGTATGAGCCATGCAAGCACAATTGCCTTGCATTTCAAAACCTTGTTACTCAAAGTGTCGAGCTTGTTAGAAATGCAGAATCCCCGTCCTTACTTCAGACCTACTGAGTCTGCGTGATAACCAGACCTCCAGGTGACTCTTCTGCATGTTCAGGTTGGGAAGCACTGCCTTACTACACCGTTACGCCCAGCACATCTCTTTATTACTTTAATCCCACTGTTGAAATATTTGCTTACATCTCTCTCCCATACCACTGAACTTAAAGGCAGATGCTGTGTCTTATTTATGTCTATCCCTGGTACAGTGCCTGGTACAGAATAAGAATCTGATCAGCGGTGACTAAATTGAAATTCCTCTATAATATACTTTATATTGTACTGATGCCTAATATCTGTTTTTCCATATGCTATAAGATAAATTCATTTAACAAGTACTGAACCTAAAGGCATTACCTGGATAGGTCATCTTACCAAGTCAGTTGTTCTCAGCCTGGCCTTAAATCAATCACCTGGGGAACTTTGGCAAAATACAGATACCCAGACTTTTAGAATCAGAGCTTCCTTTGTTTTTGAAGGAAAATGATTAGTAGATAAAGCCTGTGTAAGTGTTGTCTGACTGGACCCTCTGAAGGTACTGAGCTTCATGAAAGCAGATCCATAGATGCTTCCAGGAGACCGTATGACAGGCCCCTCCCGACACATGTCCATGCGTAGCATTTCATGTTTAGGTTTGGTTGGTGCACGATGTAAAAATTGAAGCTTTCTTTTGAAGCTTTTAATTGACAATTTTCAGTTCTATTAGAACAAACATGTATTTTGAGGGTATTGAACTAATAAAAAGGGTTAGGAACATTTTATCTGATTACTGCTGCTTTTTGTTCTTGGTATGGTCAGGTACTTACAATTTCATCAGAAATCCCTAAAAGAATTCAGAGTGCCTTAAAAAATGCAGAAGAATCCAAGCAATTCCTTAATCAGTTTCTGGACCAAGAAAGTCATCTCTTCAGTTCCATTAACAGCCATCTGCTGACTGCTGAGCCCTGGATGGAAGATCTCGGGGCCATGATTAACCAAATTGAAGAGACTGAAAGGCATCTTGCTTACCTTAAATGGATTTCACAAATTGAAGAACTAAGGTAAAATGGGCCTCTTTGTTCTCGTAATTATTATTTTCCTTTGAGGCTCTGTCTTAGAGAGTGCATGCATGCCATTAAATAATTGAGTTGTTAATTAAAGATTATAATAATGTAATTTTACTAGTTGTTAGGAAAATAGCATCATGATAATGATTCTTTTCCTTTATTGTGAATGAACATACACTTTTCAGGGAGCTTAATTTGCATTTGAAAGAAAGTAATCTGAGTACAAATTTTAAGTTCTATGGTTGAATTGTGAACACCTGATAAAAACTTATTTTTTATAATGCCAAATTAATAAAAGAACCCCTCAGTGTGGTAATATTCCTCTTTACTTTTACTTTTTAGAGATAGTCACCTAATGAAATGGATTGCTTTCTCTATATGAAATTTTTTCCGTGGGAATCATCTAATAAGAGCTGTACAGTGTTCTTAGATAAATACAGAGTTCTGTGTCTTGTGGATAGGGCAAAAAAGTACTTCTTGAATTGAATACATATTGCTGGTGGTTGATTGTAAGTGTCTAGTATTGCCTTTCAAACAAGCTAAATTAACATTTCTGTCTAGACTGGCATGATATAGTCTTCCTGCCCCTCTAAACTACTACTCCGTCCTTGCTTTGTTTTAACTACTCTTGCTGTCTGGAGACTTGGAGAAAAGTCAACCAAGAGTCTTAATGTACCATTTAAAAGGTATCATAATTAATATATTTTATGTTATGTCTTCCAAAGAGTAATACTGTATGACTTTGTCCTGCATATGTTTCCTGAGATTTTAAAGAATTTTACATACCACTACAATATGAAAATCTTTGTTTTGCACATGAGTTTTACCTTTACAGAAAAATCGATATGCAGGCTGGCCGAGTGGCTCAGTTGGTTAAGAGCTCACTCAAGAGTTTGAGCTCTGAGCAACAGGGTCCCCGGTTTGATTTACAGCCCGAGCTGAGCTGCCGCTGAGCTGCCAACTGGTGGCAGGATGGCTCAGCTAAAAAAAAAAAAAGAAAAAGAAAAATCGATATGCCTCAGATTATAGTGTTACTAGTAATCCTGAAAATTGACTTCAGCTATTTATTTATTTATTTATTTATTTATTTATTTATTTATTTGGGAATTGGGGAGGGGGACCAGCCAATTTGTTGTCTTCAGTCTTAGTTGCAGAGGGCGCCAGTCACCATCTGGCTGCCCGTTGGCAGCTCATGGCCTCTAAGCTCAAGGTGCTGTGTTACAATCTTAGTTGTTGGTGGGTGTAGCCACCATCCCATGCGGGAGTCGAACCAGCAGCCTTGTTGTTAAGAGCACGCGCTCTATCCACTGAGCCATCTGGGCGGCAGCTCAGCTCAGGGTAGTGAGTTCAGTCTTAGTTGCGGGTGGGTGTAGCCCACCATTGATCAGGCAGTCTTGTTGTTAGGAGCATGTGCTCTCGCCAGCTGAACCATCCTGCCACCTGTTGGCAGCTCAGCGGCATGGGCGCAGCATCACTGACCCATGTGGGAATCAAACCGGTGGCCCTGTTGCTCAGAGCTCGCACTCTTAAGCTAAAGCTAACTCTTAACCAACTGAGCCATTTGTCCGGCCAGAGTTCAGCTTTTTAAAGCATCTTCTGGCTGTTTAGATTAATTATTTGCAGGGAGAAATTTTAAACCTTGCTTTATTTTACTTCATTTTCCCTTGCCCCTCAGAAAGAAAATACCAATAAGGGACAATATTCATAACCTTGTTATTACAGTAACATAACCTTATTAAGTAAAAGCCTCACTCTTGTAGTAGCCAAAGTAATGAATTAAAATAGGACCATGGTTATGGGTAGTCTTTTTCTGATGTTGAAATTGTTTAAAATAATATATGCCCATGGAGTTATGTTAGGAATAGGAACAAAATTCATGATCAAATCAAGCACAGTTAATTTCTCTTTTTAATAACGTGTTCTTTCCCGTAGGTCTTTTGTGATATATTTCTATTTCTTTTGGTCTGAGACTTTCCTCATCTCCTAATTTCCCTCTAATGACCTGTTTTTTATTCTGTAGCGCTTTCTCAACCTTTTTTATAAAGTAGTTTCTTCTTTCTAGAACTGGATTAGCTCTGTTTCTTGAACACTGCAGTCCAGCAGTATCGCTATGAACGAACCCTATTACTCCGACTTTTCCTGGCTCTGAATGTCATTCATGCTTTAGTATTGTGTGGAGCTCTATTTCACTGTGTCCTAGAAAGCAGTACTCCTGTATTCTGTGGTTACTTTCACATTTTAAATTCTTTTGAAACATTTCTTAATACGGCAGTCTTCGCTTTAACATAGTGCAACGCTTAGTGTGGATTTCTGTCGCTGAAGTGGGAAATCAGTGAGAAGTTCTTAGGTAGGTAATCTGCTGTAATGCACAGGGAAAAACTTTCGACAGGAGCTGTCACTTGTGCATGCTAACCATCAGAACAAGCCCACAAAGAAAGACCGGGGCCTTTTGTTGACACCCACTGGGGGAAAAAGAGTGTTTTCTTTTTTTTTTT